TAACAAGGATTAAAAACTTGTTACATTTTGGTGTATTTGAGAAATGAGATATCCGGACCAGGATTCTGTTTTGGGTTTAATATAAAAATATTAAATCTGCTGCATCTAATCAGGAACTGTTCATCAATTTTATTTATTTGCTGCATCTAATCTGCTCTTGCATCCGTGATTGATTAGTTTGCAGATTTTTTTGATTGCTTTTTATTTTCAATTTTGCGATTTCTATTCTTGTAAGTAAGTAGGTTGCTAGATCGATCTGTTCCTATTAAGGAAAGAAAATGAAATTTGCAGTCATCTTCAACCTTTGTCGCTCACTGTCATCGTTGCTCTTGCTTTCTGTGAAAAAAAATTTGATTGTTTTTAGAAGAAACTGGTTTGGTCTGGTTTGTTAACAACTAAGTTGATTCTTTGTTGATTTTGTACTTTGAAATCAGCGAGATTCGTGTTTGTAAAAAAAAAAATATTGCATTCGTCATTATCCGTTGTTGATTTGCTAGTTGACATTAGTTGGTTTACTAGGAACCAGATTGGTCCTGACTTGTTTCCAATTGGTTTGAAACCGGTTTTGTTAATTACTTTGCATTGATCAGAACACTTGTTATTATAATATTTCATAGCCTGAGTTCTCTGGAATATTTTGATTGACGTATGTTTTGCAATTTACTTGAAGACTTTGAATTGCTAATTTGTCTATGCAACTACGTTTAATTAATTGTCAGTTTCTGGAATATCTTTAATCGACGTAATTTTAAACTGTTTAATTGCTTGCAGATTGTCTTTGCCTTCAAGTTAATTAGATTGTTAATTTTAAGAATTAATTTATCCTGAAATTTTAATTCGATTAATTATTTTAATTGTTTAAATTTGTCTATTGAACTTGTGTTTGGTTGTTTTTAGTATACTAATTCGTTGTGGTTTTCGTGAACAGATTCGATTTAAGTGTGACTAACAACAACGACAACCAAACTATGATCGATGGTCAAAACAAGGATGCACCGATAATTGATGTGACCGTTGGAGGTGGTTCTAATGGGAGCGGATTAAATGAATCTACGCTCCAAATTCAGTTTGGGAGTGATATGCCATTTGCGAACCCGTCATTGCCTGGTGCTTTAAGCGC